GGAAGAGCCGCCAGGCCCCGCGGCAGATGAGGCCGAACCAGTAGAGCTGCGGGGCCGCCAGCGCGGCGGCGGCGGCGTTGTAGGCCGGGGGCAGCGCGGCGGGGACGCGCAGCAGCGCCAGCCCCCGGTGCCGCCCGTAGGCCCAGTACAGGTACGGGAACAGCAGCACGCGGCAGCCCAGGAACGTCACCAGCAGCGCCAGCCCGTTGAGCTTGTGCAGGGCCGTGTGCTGGCGCCGCAGCTGCGGGCACAGCGTGGCTCGGTTACGGGGTCCCGATGTTGTTACGGGGTCTCCAGGGCTGGGGGGACGCGGTGAGACCCCGAAAGTTCTCGTGGGGTGAGGAGAGGGGGAGAAATCCCTGGTGGTCGCATCTCGGTGGGGTTTGGAGGAACCAATTGGACCACCGAGGGGGGTCCCGATGTTGTTATGGGGTCTCTGGGGCGGGATGGACACAGGGAGACCCCAGAAGCTGTTATGGAGTGAAGAGGACAGGAGAAATCCGCATCGGTCGCATCTCGGTGGGGTTATGGGGGACAATGGGGATTTTCGGGACACTCTGGAAGGGACCCAGGGTGGGATTTGAGGACCCCGATGGATCTGAGGTGTTTTTTGGGATTTCAGGGAATATTTTGGGATATTTGGGGGGATTTCAGGGAATATTTTGGGGAGATTTCTCACGGATTTTTGGTGAGGTTTTTTCCATTTTTACGGGATTTTTTCGGTTTGTTTTTGTTTTATTTTGGGGCTGTTTTGGTGATTTTGGGTATTTGGGGACCCCTGAGGACACCTGGGGACATCTCACCAGGATGAGGACCTTGCCCAGGCACACGAAGGGGGTGCTCAGCTCGGCCATCAGCAGACAGCCCAGGAAGAAGTCGCCCTTGCCCTGCCGCCACAGCTGGGGGACACCTGGCCGTCACCCAGGTGTCCCCAAAAACTCACCCAGGTGTCCCCAAAGCACCCCAGATGTCCCCAGGTGTGTCCCACGTGTCCCCAGGTGTCCCCAGGTGTGCCCAGGTGTCCCCAAAGCACCCCAGATGTCCCCAGGTGTGTCCCACGTGTCCCCAGGTGTCCCCAGGTGTGCCCAGGTGTCCCCAGGTGTCCCCAAAGCACCCCAGGTGTCCCCAGGTGTGCCCAGGTGCCCCAGGTGACTCACGGTGGCCACAGGGAAGCAGACCAGCACCATGGCGGCGTGGTGCAGCACCCTGCACCCCTCTCCCCGTGTCCCCAGGTGTGCACAGGTGTGTCCCATGTGACCCCAGGTGTGCTCAGGTGTGTCCCAGGTGTCCCCAGGTGTCCCCAGGTGTCCCCAGGTGACTCACGGTGGCCACGGGGAAGCAGACCAGCACCATGGCGGCGTGGTGCAGCACCATCAGCAGCTCCTGGCGCAGGAAGGCGGCGGCGGCGGCGCGCGGGGCCAGGGGCGCGTCCCCGTGTCCCTTCACCTGGGCGCGCTGCAGGTGGCACAGGTACATGGCGTACACGTCGTACACGAAGTACGGCACCGCGAAGGGCGGGTAAGCCGCGGCCAGCCAGTGCCTATGGGACAGGTGAGCACAGGTGTGGCCCAGG